TAAGTTTCTGGGAGATAAATTGCCTTTCAACTTCCACAAGGAAAAGGGCCCTAGCACGCAGAGATTGAAGTCTAGATTTATCCTCATCAGAAGCTTCATTCAAATCAATTGCTTGCAGGAAAGCGTTATACTCAGCATTTGCACACTTAGCTTTCTCAGAGATGTGGCCAAACTCCTGTTTGTTGAGACTTTTAAGGGGATACTTCAAAGCTTTGAGCTTACGCACCAACGTGTACTGATCAGAACCTATAACAGTCATATTCCAGGAACGAGCCACAATATGATGGAAATTCGGATGAGACAGCCACATGTTGAAGAACTTGAAGGGTTTGTTGATAGCCTCTTGACTGTTGAACATCTTAATGAGAATCGGGCAATGATCAGAAATGCAATCAAATTCTTTGAATTCCACCCAGCAGTTAAAGTTGTTCCCCATCCAGTTAGGATTAATGAGGACACGGTCAAGTTTTGCTTTAACTCTTCCATTAGTCCAGGTGAAAAAACTGCCAAAACTGGGGGCATCCGAGAGACTCAGGGATGAGCAACAATCAACAAAATCTTTTGTGAAGTAGTTTGAAGGGATTACTCCACCTTGTTTCTCCTCTGGGCATTTTACCACATTGAAGTCTCCACAAATCAGCCAGGGGGAACTGCTTTGGGGGCTTAACTCACTTAGCTTAGTCCAGAGATGTCTCCTTTCAACAACTGAATAAAGACCATAAACAATTGAGCAGAAAAAGGATTTATTTGAGATCTTGCACCGCAGATTGCAGTGAATACACTGAGGTGAAACATCCAAGATAGTACAATCAACCTTGTGGGAATTCCAAACCAAAACAATGTGACCACTCCTTATGGTGTCAAAATCAACAAAAACATTCTCACTTGGGAAAATACCATTAATAACCTTGTCTAACTTAGACGGTGTGGTTCTAGTTTCCAACAAAGCAAAAAAAGAAACATGATTTTGGCTGGCAAAACTGAGGATTTTCTTCCTCTTTAGGGGCTTGTTGATGCCCCTAACATTCCAAATAGCAGCAATCATTTGGGAACTGAGGTGGGTTTCCGTCTACCACCGCCACGGACCATTGATTTTGCCCTCAATGGTATGGGAATAACAATAGGTCTACTGCGACTTTTCCCCCCTGTTATGGGGCACAACTGGTTAGTCTTAGGGGGAGAAAGAATTGCTGCCTTAAAATTCAGACCTTTGGAACTAACATCCTTAGCCAAACGCAGGGATTGTCTTTCGTCATTCTTATCACACAGTTGTTTGTTGACTGTTGGTTCTGAAATTCTTCCAATTCCTAAGTTTGGTGAGCTTCCTTCACACACCTCATTTAGGTCTTGTTGAAAAGCATACAGAGATGACTCCTTCACAGACTGTGGTGGTATAAAATCCTTGGGAAAAGCCATGTATACACTGTTTGTTTGGAGTAATTCATTTAAATCTGCCAGCCGAGAAGCTGGAATTGGGGCAAAGCTAGCTTTAATTTGGGGAGCAACATCTATTCGAGATAACTCCATCTCTTTATCCATTTCAACAGAAGGGGAGGCAGAAATCACTGGTTCCAAGAGGGGAGGAGCAGTGTTGTCACAATCTGTCAAGGCCCCTTGTTCACAGCACACCCCTCTCTGATTTTCACCCAGATTTTCAGAGGTGTTTTCCATCTGAGCAACTTGAGATAGATTCACATCCCCAGAAGCAATCATCTCAACCGGCTGACTCACTGTTTGCGTTGCTGGTGGTAACTCCTGCAAAACAGATGTAGCAAGACCACTAGAAGAAGGGTTATTTGCCCTAAGGGAAGCTTTCTGCTTCTTTTTACCCTTTTGGGTCCTAGGGCAATCATTCTTATAATGTTCTTGACTATAACAGTGAATACAAAAGCAAGGGTAGACTTCAAATTCCACAGATTGATAAAAAGACTCTCCATTAGGAAGCATGACAGGGATGTCTTCTTTAGGATGAAGAGAAGTATCAATTTCAATAAGCACACGAGCATAGTTGCTCTTATTTGCATCCCATGTCATTTCATCCATACAAAGGGGTTTACCAAGGCATGATGCTATCTTCCCGAGGGCAGTAGGATGCCAACACTCCACGTTATGCCATGGAACCGTGTTCACCATTCATGGTGAACACGGTTCCAACGGTGTTAGTGCACCGTTATCTTTTTTTTTTTTTTTTTTTTAATTAATTACGTGACTGCCTACACATTCACTTTGGAACCATGAGATTATGAATTTTCTGTTATGAGATTATGAATTTTCTGTTATGAGATTATGAATTTTCTGTTATGCGATTATGAATTTTCTGTTATGAGATTATGAATTTTCATTACATTCATAATTTCGGAGTTTCGGACATTCATAAATTATGAATTCATGCATGCACATTCACTTTGGAACCATGCCTACATATTCCCGTCCGAAATCACGGACATTCATAAATTATGAATCCATGCCTGCACATTCACTTTGGAACCATGCCTACACATTCACTTTGGAACCATGAGATTATGAATTTTCTGTTATAAGATTATGAATTTTCTGTTATGAGATTATGAATTTTCAGTTGGGAGATTATGAATTTTCTGTTATGCGATTATGAATTTTCTGTTATGAGATTATGAATTTTCATAAAATTCATAATCTCATAACAGAAAATTCATAATTTGATCAGTAACGCGCCGTTAACTCCACATCCGCGATTTTTTTTTTTTTTTTGGCCTAAAAACGACGTCGTTTTGACTTGTGTTCACCATTCTCGGTGAACACGATTCCACGACATAATTTGCGGTAGCTTACCGTTTGAAGCTACCTGAATGCCTTAAGGTAAAAAAGTTTAATGTGAGTTTTCTAAAAATGTTCATTCCTGAGGAGATTGATCCATGAAAAGATTCTTAAAAGAATTTTTAATTAAAAAAAAAAAAAAAAAAAACGTTTACACCTAGGTTCTATGTAAAAATGCAAAATATAAAAATGACACGGATTTATCAAGATAACAATAATCTACGAAATATGTAAGATTATGACTCAATTATACTTTTTATTGATTTGATAGATTTATGCGAAACTATTTTTTAAAGTTATTGGAGTTAACTACATTATTGGATTGACTTTGGTTTATTTAATCATTTTTATGGAAAAAAAAAAATAAACAGGTTTTTTTTTTGTTAGTTGAGAAAAATGGTCAAATATTACCTTTTTTAAAATACAAAAATAAACCCTTAAATTTTAAAAAGTTATAATTAAACATACTAACTTGTTGATTTGATGCAATTGAACTAATCACTTGTTAAATAGTCAAATAGTCTCAACATATAGTTAAAACTTGCTGACATGTTCTTTTTTTAATAAACATTAAAAAAATAATATTAAAAATAATGGTCACCCGAGAAGATGGTTGCCTCCCCTTCTATCCCTGCGCTTCACCATCATTTGGGCGGAGAAACAGTGGGATGGGAAAGCCACATCTACTATTTGATTTAATTGCATCCGACACGTTGATAATTTTTTAAAAGAGGAATTACACTTTTGGTCTTGTGACTATTATGGTCTTGTTAATTTGAGTACTTGACTTTAAAAATGATCAATTTCGTCCCTAACTATTTAATTTTTAACACTTTTGGTCCTCCCGACCAAATCGCTGGCCAAATGTTGCCGGAAAAATATAAACTATTTTTAATTATTTAATCATGAGGGCAAATTAGTCATTTCATGCTCTTCTTCTTCCTCCCCTTCTCTTCCCTTCTTCTCCGTTCTTCTTCTTCCTTCTTGCAGCGACGGCCGGAAAAAGCAAAAAAGAGGAAATTGCACCGCCTTCACCTCCGCCACTTCGGTATTTAAACTTTATGATCATTGTTTTCTCTGATCTGTCCGTCCCTTTTCCGCACCTTTTTCTTTCGACCTGCTATTTCCTCATGAGACTCATGTCTCTGAAGAAAGTTTGGCTGGCAAACAACAAGTTTTCAGGCAGGATTCCAGGGGTGGTTTGGAAAGCTGCCAAATTTGATTGAACTTCACCTTGAAGGGAATGAAATCTCCGGCGAAATCCCCACCCTGGCTCAAAAACCCCTGGTTAATCTCGGCGTGTCTAATAATAAACTCCAGGGAGAACAAAAAACTGTTCAGTGGTTTAAAGAGAGAATGGCAAATGAATAAATTGTATTAAGCAAAGTAAATCATCCATTTTCTTTCCCTGTTTTATGGTAATAAAGTAAGCCCATTAAATCTTTAAGATACAAGAAAGAAGGAAAACCAAGAAATATACGATTGCCGGCCCAGATGACTGTTAAAATGCCTCAGCGAGAATGTGTACCTTCACAGTTTGAGTTGAAATTGAAGAAACAAAATTCATGAAATAATAATGGCTAGAATAACTCCATAAATTACAAAATGGATAATCATAGTAGTATTCATAGCCCTCCTGCTAATCACCATCATGTTCAAGACGCAGAGCAACGATGATTTGATGAAGGCCGCAGCTGAGGTTCTTGGCAGGTGGTGGATTGGGATCAGCTTGGGAGGTGGCGGCGGTGGCGATGCAATTTTCTCTTTTTATTTTTTATTTTTTTTTTCTTTTTTTTTTTTCAGCCGTCGCTAAAATGATCATTTTGCCCCTATGAATAAACAAGTTTAAAGGAATTACGTTTTTCCGGCAACATTTAGCCGGCAATTTGGCCGGGAGGACCAAATGTGTTAAAAATTTCATAGTTATAGGACTACATTGATAGTATTTAAAGTCAAGTACTCAAATTAACAAGACCACAATAGTCACAGAACTAAAAGTGTAATTTCATCTTTTTAAAAATTTAGATATCTAATTACTTTTTTCGTATAAAGTTGAATGAGTTATTTTTATTTTTAAAATAACTAAAGTTCTAAAAGGCTACAATAAATAATAATGAAATTTGCTTTAATTGTAATGGCAAATCTAAGTTGAATTGTGAAGAATGAAACATATAATTGTACATTGCCTTACGAACATTGTGGTATATATTTGATAGAATTGTACTGTTTTCAACATTATATTTCAAACACGAGATACAATTCCACCAAATATATAACACAGTAAATTAAAGCAAGGCACAGTATAAATTCTCATAAACTAACAGTACGTACAGGAGTGGTATTCAAGTATGCAGGATTATAGGAGATTTAGCAGTGGCCAATAGAGCAGCAGAAGGAAGGGCAAGATGAGAAGTTGAGTGAGTGATCTAACAGAAGTTGTCTATGCAGGTGCACAATGTGGATTTGGGAACTGCACCGATGATGGCCTCCTTCTTCTCCCCATCCTTGAAAATCATAACGGTTGGGATGCTTCGAACCCCATAGTTGGTTGCAATCGTAGGGCTCGCGTCTGTGTTCACCTTGTAGCATTTCAGCTTCCCTGCATATTCCTTTGCCACTTCATCAATCACCGGATGAATCATGCGGCATGGACCACACCATGGAGCCCAAAACTCCACCAGAACAGCTTTGTCGGACTCCAGCACCAATGACTTCCATGTTTCATCACTCACAAGAGCCACTACTGCAATATATATCGATCATTTTCACTACACTTTCATTCATGCAACTTCAACACAAAATATATATCCCACACCAAATGCATGTGAAGCTTTAGCGATTAAAAGGATAAAAGATGAACTGGAGAAGAGCAGCTAAAAGGAAAAACGATATGATGAATTGTTACACTACCCAGCAAGCTAAGGATCAACAAAATGGATCCAATACTGCAAAGAAACAAGCAAAATTTCAAGTCAAAATATCATAAGTGTCTAGCTAAAGTTACTGCACAATAGATATGGATGTCAATCTTAGTCCAAAACCGATAAGTTGACATGATAAGACCCAAAAATTTTAGGGTTAGGACAAAAAAAATTTAACTCAATAAAAAATGAGTTTGATAAGCTCGATGGCTAGCTCAAAAATTTTAGTGAGCTAGCCCGATAACCTAAGCCATTTAAGGCTATTCAAATATACATGCATGGAGTTTATATGTAAGTTTATTATTAGAATTTCTTTTAGAATGTTAATTTGAAAATGTCAAAAGTTTTGTTAAGCCACCTTATAAGCTGTCGTGTCCCCATGACTTTTTAAGATTAGGTCTAAGAATTATAAACCCGACAAAAAAAAAAAAAAAAACAAAAGTTGATAACCCAATAGGGTCTGCTTGAAACTGAATAGCTAGCCTAGCCTGATTGATTCCCTAACAATTGGAAGGTTTGACTTAAAAAATTAGTGGCGGCACTAAAAATGCTTTAAACATCCGATTGATGTGAATGTATGTAGTCCTTCTTGTAGACTAAATATGCAATATGATTTCCATGTCTCCAAAACATTTACTACCAAAATTATGCAGACACACATATATATGCCCCATAAATGGCATTAAAGACAAGCTGAAGTTACTTTACCAAGACTAATGTAAATTTAACTGGGGAGCTCCTAGCAGACTGTGGCCATGTTTGGTTATTGACAGATCCGCCAAAAAATGATAGATCCGTCATTTTTGACGGTTTGACCATGTTAAACCGCCAAAAAAAGCCGTTTGGTCCGTTGGCGTTTTGAAAAAATTAAATTTTTTTCAAAACGCCCGTGTTTATATATATATATATATATATATATATATATATATATATATATATATATATATATATATTTTTTTTTTTTTTTAAACTTAAAACTTATTTTGAAGAGCCGAAATGGCTCCTCAGTGTTGCCCATCTGGGATGGGCAACAAATTTGTGGAGCCTCAAGGCTCCATTCCCACTTTTCCCACCGATGTGGGACGGTGGGAATACAAGAGGGGACTTCTTTCTTTGTTTTTATCTTTTTTTTTCTTTGTTTTTTAAAATTTATTATTATTATTATTATTATTATAAATTATAAATTATAATGTATACCCTTATGGTCATTTTACATGTTAATCGCTAATCTAAACAGCTAATTTTATCAAACACTTTTTTATAAACCTCTAATACAATCTGCTGGTCAAACCCGGTAATACAATCCACTATCACAACCCGCTACCGCTAACCGCTAATAACTAAACAAGCCCTGTATGGCATAATGCCCACAAAGAATACTAACAAGTTGACGGTAATAATGTTACCGGAAATATAATATAAGAGTAACGAATAAGAGAGTAACAATAGTTGTATTGCCTTTGTCTCAGTATAGAAAGTACAGTGTGTCCTGCTCAGCTGAGGGAAGTTCTATTTATGCTAGGTCCTAACGGTAACAACATGAAGAGACATCCTTGGGGAGCTGAGCTAACGGCAGGAATATGAAGAGTCATGAATGAGGCGTTGAGGCTTTAACTCTCTCTCATCAATGGTGGCATCAATGGTGGCTTCAATGACATTAGATGTGACACCTGTTGGAATTCTAACCGTTGGAGCATCCATGCGGTGTCGGGTCAACTATGGTGCCGGGTCAGATGCACATTTATGATCCGGGTCGGGTGCTAGCCCTATTATCCTGTCACCAGTCCCCCCTACTCCTGAGTCTACGAATGTGTTTGAGTTGACTTGGGAGTAAGGCTGAATCAATCGTGATACTGTGCCATCCTGATTGAGTTAGGATATGCGATTTTGTTTTCCAGATCCCTTCCTGCCTAAGCAATTTGAGCACCTTTCTATCAGCTCTTGTCACCATCCGTCGGTTTCTGCGGTTTAACATTACCTTTGTTTTTTTTTTTTTTTTTTAATTTTTTTTTTGCGGCGTGGGCCGTCTTCGGGTTAGGGCGCCGCCTCAGCCTCGCCTTGTGGCCGAGGCACTGCGCTTCGGCCACGGCCGAGAGGCGCACTTGGCCGAGCCGTGCACCTCGACCCCTTTTTTTTTTTTTTTTTTTTTTTTTTTTTGAGTGGCCGAGGCGTTGCCTCGACCAGGAGGCCGAGGCGTGCCTCAGCCTGACGCTCGGCTACTTGGCCGAAGCGTGCACCTCGACCCTCTTTTTTTTTTTTTTTTTTGAGTGGCCGAGGCGTCGCCACGACCAGGAGGCTGAGGCGTGTGCCCCGGCCATGTGGCTGAGGCGTTGCCTTGGCCACTTGGCCGCGGCGTGCGGCTCGACCCCTTTTTTTTTTTTTTTTTTTTCGAGTGGCCGAGGCGTGCGCCTCGGCCTTGGGCTGAGGCGCGGCCTCAGCCGAGGCGTCGCCTCGACCAGGAGGCCGAGGCGTGCACCTCGGCCTTGGGCTGAGGCGCGGCCTCAGCCATCTGGCCGAGGCGTATGCCCCGGCCATGTGGCTGAGGCGTCGCCTCGACCTTCTTTTTTTTTTTCGAGTGGCCGAGGAGTCGCCTCAGCCACTTGGCCGAGGCGTGCGCCTCGACCCTTTTTTTTTTTTTTTTTTTTTTTCGAGTGGTCGAGGCGTCGCCTCGACCAGGAGTGGCTGAGAAGCTGCCCGGCCCCCTTATTTATTTATTTATTTATTTATTTATTAATTATTTTTTATCGAGGCGCCGCGCCTCGGCCTTTTTTTTTTTTTTTTTTTTTTTTTTTTGGAGTGTAGTGACGGCCGTGGTTGATTGAATGTGGTTTTGAAAACCTTTTTATTTGAGAGCGAAGTAACTTGGGCGGACCATGATTACTAGATATTGTTTACAGGTCTGGGCGGGCCACGACTACATCGTATTACTGATAATATCTAATTAAATTTTCTGAGTTCCATACCCGATCGATCATCCTTGCAAATGGTGTGGACTTGTGGATTCTTTCCGCCAATCTTTTTGCATGCTTTTACGTAACAACTGCGGGCTGCTCGCTGGTTTCCTCTGACGACCCCTATCCCATTCGGAGTAGGGAACTTCATACACAAGTGTTCCACCGACACTATGGCCTTGAGGTCCTCCAGTGCCGGCCTCCCCAAAATGATGTTGTGCGCACAAGTGAGTCTTACCACGATGAATTCCATGGCAAGTTTGCGAATGTTAGGGCTCGTGCCTATCTCCACTGGTAAGGCCACCGACCCCTCCGTCTCCACTGAATCACCCGTAAATCCAGAGAGTGGGGTACGTACTTCTTTGAGCTGGTTCCTAGGTATCCCCAACTTGGTGAAGGCATCGTAATACATCACATTGACTGAGCTTTCCGTGTCGACTAAGATGCGGCGGATAATGACATCGTTGACGTCCATCTCAATCACCAGGGCGTCATGATGGGGTAGCGGGCCCTCTGGGAGGTCATCATTAGAGAAGGTGATGGCCTCCTGTCTCTGTTTCTTTTCTCTAGGAAGACTCGCCACTTCTCCCACGTATATCTGTCGGCTCCACTTCTTTCTTTCTGCGGGCGTGTCGCCCCCTGCGGGTCCACCATAGATAAAGTGTATGGTGTGCTTCTTTTGTCGTCTGGGCGCCACCTCGGTTTCTTTCTCGCTATCACTCTGCTCAGATATTTGGTTGTGGTCTCTTTTTTTGGCGTTTGAGGTGGACGGCTCGGTGCCATCCTCATTCATCCAGACATTTTTTGGTGGATTGTGTTGCGGCTGTTGCTGCTGCTTGGATCGCTTGACGAAATGTCGGAAGTAGCCCTGCTGGATGAGGTCTTCTATTTGTCTCTTCAAAACGTGACACTCATCCGTATCGTGTCCGGCATGCCTATGATACCTGCAGTACTTTGTTTGGTCTGCCTTTGGGGAGACCTTCATGCACTCCTTGGGGAATTCTACCATTCCCATCTCCTCAGCTTGCTTTAGAATGACACTGACGGGATGGGTAAGAGGAGTTAAATTACGCAAGGGGACCAGGCGAGGTCGTTCGTAGTCTCGGCCCTTCCCTGCGGTCGGGTGGTTCGAGAGTGGTGCCTGGCTGGGCGGACCAGCTTTCCCAGGTTTCCCGTTTTTCCTGTCGTCCTCCTCATCTTTCTTTTTCCTGTCGACGTCCTCTGCCTCGGCATAGCGGCTAGCCGTCCTCATCAAATCTTCGTAAGAACGGGGGTGGTGGGCGTTCAGCTGCTTGTGGAAATACCCTGATCTTAAGGCATGGATAAATATTGGGATCGCCACCTTGGAGTTGAAGTCGTAGACATTATTGACTTCCTTTTTCCATTTGATTAGGAAGTTTTTTAGGCTCTCGCCTCTATCTTGCTTCACTACGCAGAGGTGGGAGAAAGGTTTCTTACGCTGTATGCTACCGGAGAAGTATGTTAGGAAGCTCTTGGACAACTCCCCAAAGTTTTGGATCGACCCATCTGGGATGGTGTTGAACCAGTCTTGGGCCGCTCCATCCAGGGTGAACAAGAACGCTCGGCACATGATGGCGTCCCCTGTCCCGATCATTACCATAGCAGCCTTGTACCTCGTCATGTGGACACGTGGGTCAGTGGCCCCCGTGTACTCCTTGATAGCGGGCAACCTAAAGTCCCTCGTCAAAGGTACGTCCATGATGCTTGGGGAGAATGGTGCTGTCATCCGTACCTCGGGTTCCGGCGACTGCTCCCGTGCCTCCACCCTTCTTGCTAACTCCTCGATTTTTCTCTGCAGCCTCTCGACCAGGGCCGACTCGTCAGGGTGCCGGCGGGGCCGGCTGCCGCTCCTCCATGTGTCGTCGTGGAGCTAGTTCATCAACCCGTCGCTTTCCCGCCGAGTGCCGTCGCGGAGCCGGCTCTTCGACGCGTCCATCCTCCAAGTGTCGACGTAAGGCCGACTCATCAACGTGTTGGCGTGGGGTCGGCTCCTGAGATTCGCCCACCTCCTCTGTGGGTGATCTCTCGGCTTCTCTGTTTTCGTGTTGGCGAGGACCTCTGGTAGAGGATCCCTCGGCCCGTGATCCTAATCTTTGCCGCACGGGCGCTCTTTGTCCCAGTCGTTCTGGTGCAGATTGGGAAGGGCCTGGTTGTCATCTGGCCGGTGCACTTCTTTGGGTCTCCACCCTTATTTCCTGGGACCGCGGCGGGGGCACTTGACCTTGCAGTCCCACCGCCACTTGATTTAGCGCCGCCGTCACTGCTTGCTGAATGACATCGGCAGTCGCCTGGAGGTTCATGACTTGGTTCGCCCCTCCATTGTGGGGTTGGTCTCGGAGGTCTCCTCCATTGTTGAGTTGGTCTCGAAGGTCTCCTCCATTGTTGAGTTGATCTCGAAGGTCCCCGGGCCTCCCGTTGTTGAGATGTTCTCGGAGGTCCCCTCCGCGATTGTTGGTGAGTAGGTCACGGAGGTCACCTGAGGCGTTGCCATTGTTCACGTTGCGAGAACCGTGGGAGCTGCGGGACGCCATTCTTTCAAGCTTGCTGTTGAAAGAGAAAAAAAAGTTGTGGTGTAGCCTGCTTGAGTATTGGACTCAGGCTCTCAATGAAAGCACCAATGACGGTAATAATGTTACCGGAAATATAATATAAGAGTAACGAATAAGAGAGTAACAATAGTTGTATTGCCTTTGTCTCAGTATAGAAAGTACAGTGTGTCCTGCTCAGCTGAGGGAAGTTCTATTTATGCTAGGTCCTAACGGTAACAACATGAAGAGACATCCTTGGGGAGCTGAGCTAACGACAGGAATATGAAGAGTCATGAATGAGGCGTTGAGGCTTTAACTCTCTCTCATCAATGGTGGCATCAATGGTGGCTTCAATGACATTAGATGTGACACCTGTTGGAATTCTAACCGTTGGAGCATCCATGCGGTGTCGGGTCAACTATGGTGCCGGGTCAGATGCACACTTATGATCCGGGTCGGGTGCTAGCCTTATTATCCTGTCACAAGTAACAAAGACTAATGTCCATATTGCTTGGGAGGATCAAACCTACTGTAGTGTAGCATAATGCCATAAAAATATTGAAAAAAAGGGATGAAAAAAAAAACTTAAGCAAGTGTTCTCATTGGATACTATATATATATATATATATATATATATATATATATATATATAGCTATCATTAAAATTAACCCAAGTTATTATTACTAGATGAATTTAATGGGAAGCCATAATTAGTTCTAAAGTGAGGACCAAAACTAAGGGGGTGTATTCAATCATGACTTTCATAGAGTTTTAAAGACTTTTATGAACTTTAAAAGTTTCGAGGTATTCAATTCAAACTTTTAGAGAGTCTTTAAAAGTCATGCGGTATTCAATCAAGATTTTTAAAGAGTCTTTAAAAGTCGTGTGGTATTCGATTAAGACTTTTAAAGAGTCTTTAAAAGTCATGTGGTATTCAAAAAGTTATGAACTTTTGCTGACTTTTTAATTTTAAGACTTTTGTAGACTTTTCCTTCTCAAATATAAATAGTTGAAATCCAACCATCAACCCCAAGATTTCAAATTTTCTTTCTAACAACTTTGAATGTTTTCTCTCTCTATTTAGACTCTATTTTTTTCTCCATATTTAAACTCTATAAACCTATCTAAATTTAATAAAATTATTTTTTTCTTCATTATCCTATATTTTCCTTATACCTAAGCTCTACCCATTTTTATCTCTCTCTCCTAAACTTTAGAATCTTCATCTAAAAATTCGAAATAATATTATTTTTACTTCATTATTGCTTGTTTATATTGATTTTTATTTTTTTCTATGAATTTTTTATCCCTAACTTTCTCTAATTCTCCCTAAATACATGAACAAATCAAATTTTTCATCGTCAAATTTTAGTATATATTTCATAATATTCATATAAATAATTATATATTTTGAATTTTATTATTTTTATGTTTATATTTGTAATATATATTTTTCTCTTTTTTTTTTTTAACAACCTACTACGAATAGCGAATTACTGTTTGCAATAACAATTTGGGGTTGCAAACAGTAGCACCTTGTTGTTGTTTGCAGTCTCAAATTGCTATTGCAAATAATAATTTTTTTGCGTGATGCCTAACAATATATCAAGTATAATTTTATATATATTATTAATATTATATATATTTTTTTATTTTATGCAACTTGTAATTATATTTTTAAATATTTTATTTGATCAAGTCTTTTATTATAAATTTTATTGTTCAATATTGTTATGAATTTCTACTGAAATAGTTTTTTTTTTTTTGTTGATGTTTATTAATAATATATATAAGTAATTAGCATATAAGTCTCAATGTACTATTGATAAAAATAATAATGTTGAGAATGTTGATGTGGGTGAAGAACTATATAATAAGAAGAATTTTATGATATATTTTAAATGTTTTGTAAGAAAATTGTAAATGATAAGAATCTAAATTATTGAAAGTTTGTAAGGATGTATTCAATTTAGAATTTCAATGACTTTTGTAGACTGTTTAAAATAAAAAGTTGTAAAAGTCTATGAATGTTTTTTATATAGACTTTTATAGAGTCTTATAAAGTTTAAAAAAGTTTTGAACGACTCTATGAAAGTCAATCAAAGTTTATTAAAATCTATCATTTTAAAAGTCTTTAAAACTTTACAAAAGTCATGATTGAATACACCCCCTAAGAAAATTATTAACTTAATTAACCGGGTTTTGAATCCAAGTTCTTTGAAAGGAAATATGGAAGACTAATTAGTTGTAAGTTGTAACACAAACACAAAACAAACATTATTTTCAGCAATTAGATTCTAGGTATAACGAATTAAAGTAATCACACCTTGGCATGTAAAATCAAATTTCAGTAAAATCGAACCTCAATATCCTAACCAGAGTGTATCATCATATATACATACAGAATGAGATGGATTAGTTAAAGACAGCTAACCTTCAACTGCGGTATTCTGAGCCTCGCAGACGATGGGGCTTCCGCGTGGAGGTAATTTAGAGGTGGAAACGATTGAGCGAGGCGGTTGGATCTTAAGACCGCGGAAGTGGGAGAACCGAACGGAGTTTAACCTACAGGAGATGGAAGAGGCGGCGACGGGAGCCAATGAGGATGAGACCGACGTGAGAGGGAAGGAGCGAGGAACTGTAGTGAGAGCTTCCAGTACAACTGCCATGGCAGAATTGAAGGGTGTGATATTTACAGGGAAATGGAAAGAGAGTGAGTGAAAGAGAGTAGCGGGCGACGGGGCGAGTAGTAGAATTTGTTGGGTAGTTGGGCGTACGGATCATTCGGATTAGGTGACGAATGAATGGCTGCCACACTCCACGCCACCACGTGCCGTGAACTGGAGAATATATGGAGAACTGTGATTGTATTTCTTTAATTGCTAGTGGTTTTAGTCTTACCTATTATAGGAAAGTAAATTTCACATTTAGGTGGTGTCCGGCGGCTGTCCGCTAATGCAGTAACTATGAGTTCTTATACCAGACCTTATGCCATGGAACCGTGTTCACCTTTCATGGTGAACACGGTTCTAACGGTGTTAGTACACCGATATCTTTTTTTCTTTCTTTCTTCTTCTTCTTTCTTCTTTTTTTTTTTTTTTTTTTTTTTTTTTTTTAATTAATTGCGTGACTTTTCTTCTTTATTTTCACATTTTGCGGTTTCACTTTAATTTGAGGTGAACAAAGATTTCGGACATTCATAAATTATGAATTCATGCCTGCACATTCACTTTGGAACCATGCCTACACATTTCCGTCCGAAATCACGGACATTCATAAATTATGAATCCATGGCTGCACATTCACTTTGGAACCATGCCTACACATTCACTTTGGAACCATGAGATTATGAATTTTCTGTTATGAGATTATGAATTTTCTGTTATGAGATTATAAATTTTCTGTTATGAGATTATGAATTTTCTGTTATGCGATTATGAATTTTCTGTTATGAGATTATGAATTTTCATTACATTCATAATTTCGGACATTCATAAATTATGAATTCATGCCTGCACATTCACTTTGGAACCATGCCTACATATTCCCGTCCGAAATCACGGACATTCATAAATTATGAATCCATGCCTGCACATTCACTTTGGAACCATGCCTACGCATTCACTTTGGAACCATGAGATTATGAATTTTCTGTTATAAGATTATGAATTTTCTGTTATGAGATTATGTATTTTCAGTTGTGAGATTATGAATTTTCTATTATGCGATTATGAATTTTCTGTTATGAGATTATGAATTTTCATAAAATTCATAATCTCATAACAGAAAATTCATAATTTGATCAAACGTGCGCCATTAACTCCACATTCGCAAATTATTTTTTTTTTTTGCCTAAAAACGACGTCGTTTTGCCTTGTGTTCACCATTCTCGGTGAACACGATTCCATGGCATAATTTGCGGTTCTTATACCAATTGTCATACTTACCCGGTTACCCCAAACCAATTGTCATACTTATTTGTTTATTTGGTTATCCTACTATTGAAATTAAATTATTTAAGGTGTATTTGATTAAAAACTTTTATATTTAATTATTGATTTTGATACTCATTCTCATATCCATTAAATATGAAATTTTAATATATATATATATATATATATATATATATATATATATATATATATATATATTTCTATATATTTATTTATTTTTATTTTAATTATAATTAATTTTTATTTATTTATTTAGATTCCAATTCCTATTTTCAACCAAACAAAATGACTCATTCTATTTAAACTTATTATCTGATGGGGTGAGGACCCCGACCCAAAAGGACGGGCCCAAAGAACAAGGTATAAGTAACCCAAGATAAGAAGTATGGGTTAGTGAAAGAAGAAGCCCAGTAGAGGCCTGGGCCGAGTCCAGGAGTCGGCCCAGGCCCAAGTAGAAAATGTGACTCGGCCCAGGAGTCGGTTAGAAGCATTCAAGTCGGTCCAATAGCCGTTAGGAGGCACTCAATGCAGCATTCAAAGAGAGCTCGACCCAACGGACCGTTGGAAGCCCAGAGAGCCGTTGGCCGGCTCGGTAACGGCGCCCGAACGGTCGCGTAGCATAATTAGCCTTGAAGGCAATAGTTAATGTACTTCAATTTGGCTGGAGGAGCGCCTACTATATAAAGGCCCCTCTACCCTTGTAATTAAGGGGGGCCATGCACAGTGAATAAGAGACACACATTCTAGCTATTATTTCGACTACTCTCCCTTTGCTAAAAGCTTTGTGAAAGGTGAATCCACCAACCAAGGTTGTGTTGGACTTCCCTGGGTCCAAAAACCCAAAAACCAACACTGGCGCCGTCTGTGGGGATTGATTCAAAGAGCTACGTGACTTTCTGAGTGAGGCGAGTCCGCAGGTCGACCAAGAAAGCATCACAAGCATGTCAGAAGGACGAGACCAAACGAATAACAGTGATAATGGAGCGGAATCAGATTTGAGAGAGCAGTTAAACCAACGAAACGCCTAAAGTCAGGAAAACGAGACAGCACCGGTAAACCGGCAACCACCTATGATACCCCTCACCCCGGAGCAACTCCACGCAATCGGGCGAGCCTTCGCTGACGCAATTCGAAGAGTGAGGGAGCAGTCGGTCTCTCGACCGATGCCTCGCCATCAGCAACCTTCCCAGAGGCCGGAAGACAGACGAGAGAACCGGCGGGCGGAGAGTCAACCAATACGATCGGTTCACTCGAGGCTAGGTCCGAACGCCGGACGGCAATCTGCACGATAACGACTAGGGGAGAGGGAGCCCAGCCGCGCACCAGCAGGCCCCCGAGATCAAGAAGCCGGTCGCGAAAGAACTCGCACCAGGAGAACCAGGACTCGGGCACGACGGACCGAGCGTCTCGCGCACAATGACGACCGACTAGCTGAATCGGAAGTCGGCGAGAGTACCGAATCCACAGGAAACCATACCCGCAATAGAGGCAATGTGGCCCAATTGGCCCGAGAGGTACGAGATCTGAAGGAGCAAATGGAGGGAAGGACTAAATCCCTCGGGCAAACGTTGCTTACCGCTTTGCCATTCTCCTCCGAGATCATGTCTTACAAAGTGCCCAACGACTTCAAATTCCCGGAGCAGGCCACCTTTGACGGATCAGGCGATACACGCGAGCATCTGCTCAGTTATCAGGCCAAGATGCAAGTCTTAGGAGTCCGAGACCCGGTAATATGTCGCGCCTTCTTGCCCACGCTAAAAGGCTCGGCACAAAGGTGGTTGGTGGCGCTGCCTCCAGGACCGATTCACAATTTTGAGGAGCTGGCCGATCGCTTCATGAGTCATTATGCGGCCAACATCAAACCACAGAAGGATTTGACTCATCTGGGACACGTCCACCAAGAGGAAGGTGAGTCCTTGAAATCTACGTGGTTCGCTGGCAAAAAGAGATCCAGTCTATCGAGGAGGTCGAAGACTAGACCGCACTCACTTTTTTCATCGAGTCCTTGCGATCCGGGCAATTATACCGGGATCTGCGGGATAATCGCCCGGCCACCTACGCGGAAGCTATACACATGGATAATAAGAGGGCTAACACGGAGCAGGCCATGAAGCATAAACGACAGCGCGAAGTCGGAGGATTCGCTGGTGGAAAGAGGACCCGTGCGGAAACCAAGAAAAGGCGTCCGGAAAGGGCTCGGCGACCCGAAGCTAGGCATCCCTATGATAAGCCTATCGTTCATCCCTATAGGCCGGCTCCTCAACACTCGGTACACGAGGTACAAGCGGTCGCTCCACCTCCACCCCCGCCGACTGACGATCGCGTGACGAACGAAGAGACAGGTAAGATCTCTAAGTACTGCCGCTATCATAAATCTTACACTCACAGCACGGAAGAGTGCTTTTACTTGAAAAAGATCATGGAAGGAATCATCCAACAAGGGACCCCGCCTCCTAATCAGTGGAGGCAGAGGTCGGCGGCACGGGAGGACAATGACCCCGCAGTCGCCGCGAGAGCAGTCGCGGCAAGCAGCCAGTGACCGAGGAAGATGAGGCCCAGTGGCGTCAGAAGCCGGTTATCAACATGATAGTCGACGGACCAGAAGGGGGCGACTCGGCGAACACCAGAAAGGCCTGGGCTCGACAGTTGTATGTCGGGACAGTATACGGGCGCGAAGAAGGCTCGAAGAAAGTGTGCCGGGAGCCCATCACGTTCACTAACAAGGACCTACCCACGGGGGAGACACCGCATCAAGATGCCCTGGTCATAGCGATGGACGTAAATGGGGTAGTCGTTCGACGAATCCTGGTTGACACCGGGAGCAGTGTCAACGTGCTATACCTCGAGACTTTCACAAAAATGGGACTAACCCGAGAGCAGCTGAATCCAGTCAAGACGCCACTCGCCGGTTTCACCAGAGACTCGGTGGAGGCAGAGGGATCCATTACCTTACCGGTGGAAGTTGGCAGCTATCCCGACGTACAGAAGCTCAGCATGAAGTTCATCGTGGTGAACCTAGCCTGCTCACACAATGCTATACTCGGCCGACCAGGCCTGGAGGACCTAGGAGCACTGATCTGGATTGAGCACCTCTGTCTGAAATTCCGCACACTGAGCGGGATAGGCACGGTACGTTGCGATAGAAGAGTCGCCCGCGACTGCTATCTACAGGCCTGCAGGGGGATGGGCAAGCGTGAAATGCAAGTCCACGAGATCACGGAAAGGCACCCAAGAAAGCGATGATACCCCGCCCGGAGCCGGCCGTGGAATTGGAAGAGGTTGAGATAGACCTTGAACAGCCAGACAGGCGGGTCAGAATTGGAGTGGGTCTCCTTGAGGAAATACGAGAGGAAGTTATCAAAGTACTCCGAGAGCACTGACTAGTCTTTGCCTGGGGTCCGGAGGATATGCAGGCGTCGACCGGTCCATCATCTCCCATCGACTCGCCGTGGATCCGGACCATCGGCCGGTCGTACAGAAAAAGCGGTATCTCGCCAACGACAGGAGGGAATTTGTAAAGAAAGAGGTGAGCACGCTGCTGGCCGCGGGCCACATCCTAGAAGTTAAATACCCGGAGTGGTTGGCGAACGTAGTCCTCGTACCGAAGCCCCCAGCTTGGCGAATGTGCGTGGATTATACTAATCTTAACAAAGCCTGCCCAAAGGATCCGTTCCCCTTGTCGCGGATCAATCAGCTGGTCGACGAGACCGCAGGGTCGGCTCTGCTAAGCTTCATGGACGCCTTCAGGGGGTATCATCAGATCTTCATGCACCCGGCTGACGAGGAAAAGACCGCGTTCCTAACACCAGACGGGGTATATTGTTACCGAGTTATGCCCTTCGGACTTAAGAATGCTGGGGCCACTTACACTCGG